TTATCTTTCGACACATATGTTTGAAAATATAATTACAAAATGTATAATTTTATGAGAAGAGACATTTTATCATTGTTAAAAATAGAATTTGTCACTTTCTTGCAGTGTGAAAGTTAGATTCGAAAATAAAGTTAAAGAATCTGTACATTACCTTTCATCAATACTTGTGCTTAATACTGTGTAAAGAATTAATAATTAACATTAACTTCAACTGTTTTCAATAGTACCAACCTCGAGGGTTCAATTGTTTTTTCATTGCTATTTCACATCGATATCAATGCAATCGAATTACAATCACTCAGTTTTACAACACAGACAATCGGATATTAAATTTTATTTGTACATTGAGGAGGATTTAAAATGCTTATATTTATAATACGTGAAATATTTTTGGAACTCGTAAGAAAAATGCCGTATATAAAATATCGATATCATTTCTTATTATTATTCCGACTGTATAGTCAAATATATAGAGATAAAATTTTTTTATTGATGTATTAATAAGATTTAATAATTATTCCCTATTATACTGTACATTACTAATTAATTTAAGCGAGAAAATGAAATTTTATCGTAAATGTATTTAAAAAATTTTTACATGAAAACAGTCGTTAACATTAAAATATTTAGACTAAGTAAATCTCAATATTTCTGAATTTCGAAAATACATTCTAATACATATTATTGTAAGATATATTTCACAATTATCTTCATTATACGTTGAAATGAATTAATAGTAATGTTTTACATGCTTTTACAAGAATCGCGTGAATGTTCAGTCTTAGATAAAATTTAATTATATTTTTTATTAGAACTTCAATTTTAGTGATAAAATGAGCTAAATTTTAAGAAATTTATTAATATAAGAAACTCATCGTAAATAAGCTACTTTTATAAAATTCTTTATACTATTTTATAAAACCAGAAATTGAAAGCTATAACAAATTCGATTCATTTTGTTCGAATTATTTTATATATTCAGTGTTTTGTGTGTGCGCGTGTGCGCGCGTGCGTGTGTGCGCGCGTGCGTATCTACACCTATAACCACAATTGAATTAAAAATTAAAAATACTATTAAATAACGCAATTAGGCTGTACCTCTAAGCTAGAATTATTCATGAGTCGATAAAGCAAAGGTCGGAAGATAAATTAAATGTCTTTTAATATTTAATAAACAATATAAATTCATATTACAACGGATTTTACATTTGTGCCTTTCATGTTTCAATAACATTGGGGAAAAAAACTTATCGTTAAGTGTTTCGCATTCCTAAATAAATAAATGCGAGTGCACCTGTGCGCGCGCGCGCGCACGCGCTCATGTCTTCCTGTATAAAAATATAGTGCTGGAAATACAGGCAATCAATTCACAATTTTTTAAAAAGTCGATGTAAATTTAGAAGCATATAAGGAGCAATTAAATAATATGGTTTCATTGACGAGGAGCAGATCAGCCTACCATCGGCGAATATAAATAAAATAACAAAGTGGCACACGTAAGCAATTTCCTCGTTGGAAAAGGCATCTGTCGCATAATTACAAGAATTATTAAGCCTAAGCCGAGATGGTAATACAATGCAAAACAACGAAAGCCCGCGTGATAAAAATGAGACGGTATAGTGCCGGCAATTTAACAGCTCGCTCTTCAGGTGGCATTGTATTACTTTTTCTCACGAGCATGCGATATCATCTCCCGCGAAGGTTTTACAATGCAGCTTGGCATTCTTTATACAGCGACTCTCTATCGCGCTTCTATAAATAGATGTGGCCGGGTGGTTAAATGTGGGAGAGGCGCGGGGGTGGAGGATCGTCTTCTCCTCGATAGCTGTGCGAAGCCGTACAGAAGCGACGGATGTGGGGACGAAGATTTTTTTTATCGGGTCGAGAAAAAGGAGCGTGAAATCATAATTATGGATACGTTGAGGCGCTAAGCTACTGCTGCGCCCACCCTCAGCTTTCAAGATAAACTACACCAAGATATATATCTCGAAGGTGTGTCTTTGTCATCGAGTTGCTGTTTATGACTTTTTAAAGCATTCTACGATAGCGTATTGAAATTATCTAGAATGCCAGATTATTGAACGCAATCGTTTAAGGATACAGCAAAGTATAAATAAATGCTTAATACTCGCCAACAGTATGTAAAGTTTACAGCGACGATATTATAATCAAACATTAACGTAATTCTTATAAAGCTCCATTGATAATGATAATTTTTCAAAAATTAAATACTAAGAATTATAAATTCTTTATCGCTCGTAAACCATGTTTTTCCAGCATTTTTAAACGTACTATGTAACATTAAATAAAATCATATTTTGCAATGATTGAGAGTTTCGTGTATTTGAAGCAACATTTAAACAAAGAATAATGTAAACTTGATAATTGTGTGTTGGATAGCCGAAATTAATGAATAATTCAAGATCGAATATTAAATTATTACATTATATTGAAGTATAGTTTGTTTTGGAGTAAATAAAGTAAACTTACAATATTTTTTAAATAAAATAATTTCATAAAATAAAGCATAAATGTTAATTAAAAATTCAAACATTAATGCAATGATATATGATAAAAATACCAGCTAATATTTTATTTTTATAAGAAGAAAATTCCTAAAAATCAAAAGTATTTTTATAAAAAGTTTCACCAGAAAACTATTACTGTTAAAACAGTATTATTACATTAACAGTAATATTGAACGATAATCTTATTGTATTACGTAATTCATAAAAGAATCTTAATCTTCATAAGATTATTATTTCTTCTTTAATATATATATATATATATATATATTTGTTTCGCTGTATTATTTTTTTCGACAATTATGTTTTCTGTTTCGTGTCTAATCATTGAAACAAGAAAATTTATATCTTATGGAAAGGCGATACTTTCATATATATATATATATATATATTAAATTACTTTAATTTTTATGATTAATAAATGATTAATATGTTACTTTACATAAGTAAAATTAGAAAATTCATTACAAAATTTTTACAATGAAAGTATTTTTCTTAAATTTTCAATTGAAAAAATAATTAATATATCGTATTATCCCTACCAATTTCATTTTATTTCCTCTAAATGAAAAGAAAAATATTGTAATAAAAATCAAAATATTGGAAATAAAAGATATCCACGTGAATCTATTTTTAAAAGTTTTTATGCGTAAATAGTATAAATAATTTTATGTATTGTTAATAAATTAGCATATTGTTTTATAAGAATTTTCTATTTTTGTTTTTTCACCGTAGTTTTAATAATATTCATTTAAATTGTAAAATTACTTGCTTCCAGGATAGATTTCACTTTTGACCCAAACTAGAATACTTCAATTCTAAGACAAATTATAAAAGTAATGAATGAAAGTAATGAAAACTAATAAATATACCTTTAAAAATAAAAAAAAAAGAGAATTACCGTAGAAAGTTGAGATTAAATCTCTAATTTTGTCGTAAGCACACATTATTTTTATTTGCTCACGTGTAGATTATAAGAAAATTCAAATTTGTTAACGAATTACCTTACGCAACTAATAAAAAGTTATTTAAGTATAATAGTTTTTTGCTATACATGAGATCCAGTGCAATAATATCGAAGAATCAGATGTATAAAAATTATTATCAAATTAATATAAAAATCAAATTTCATTATTTAGGCATCAACTTTTGTAATCGATTTTTTTTTTTTTTTTTTTTTCAAATATCTACATCTATATCTTTTTCTAATAGAATTTTTACTTTATTGAAATTTTCTGAATGGTAGGTAGATTGACGTTATTTGATTGCACCGTGGTGTGATTAGATAAAAATAAAGTAAAATTAAGTAACTGCGTGAAAAGCTAATCGATAAATTCTGTACACAAATACATATATTAATATTTCATAATTCAAGAAGAAATTAATTTATTGAGCATTTAAAGATATTAAATTTCAAAATGTCATCTTCGTAGGTATATTTTTGTAACAAAATTAAAAACGAGAAGCAAACGAATAAATCTGTATATCTCATTTCACATTTCAAAGTTTCAAATTATATTAGTTTGAATATTTATTAATACAAAATTAGCTCGAATAAACTTGCCAAAAACATAAAATCATATGCTAGAAAGGTATGTTCTTACTATGTCAACAATATTAATAAAATACGTTTGTCACATCGATGAATTTATTTAATTATTAGATTTTTTTTATTACACAAGGAAATACTTAATATCACGTTAGGTATGGAGTTTATATTTAAATATTGCATAATGTTAATTTAATAACAATAGTTAAGTTGCCTCGTTTTATTTATAAATGATTATTGATTTATGTATATTGGTCTTGCTATAATTAAGTGAAATTAAAGTAAAACGTAGTGAATGAAAATAATTATACTTTTATGTTTTTCAAAGCTTAATGCAATTTCAGCTAAATTAAATTAGACAATTAATAATTAATATCTTTAAGATAATAATCGAAGCTTTGAACGAGCAATAAAATTAGGTCGATAATATTGTTAACCGAGCTATGCTTTTTCAAAACAACTATCCTGAAAACAATAAACATCTTTGACGTCACAGCAGCTACGACTGGTTACAAACTTTTGATATGTAATAGCGTAGCGAAGAAAGCAGATGGGAAGAAAATATCGGAAAAAGGGTGAAGAGAAGGAAGTATTCGTTAATGAAACGCAGAATGCCCGAAAACCTATATAATGTAGATTTCATTTCTACGATAGTCATTTTTTTCACAATATAATTATAGATTACAGTAACCGCGGATGTAAAAAAAATACTATCGCGAGGTACGGTGGATCCGCTCGTGTCGTCTTTGAGAAAGCTCAAACAGAAGAATAAATATTTGGCGCATGTACGTCATAGAAGTTCTAAGATGCTGACACAATAGATGTTCATGCATTATAAAATACCTATGCATTAAGCTATTCCTTATAGAGAACCCCAACACATGCGTCGACACATACGTTTGCGCGCGCGCGTAAAAGACCGGCGCTAAAGTACAGTAGAGTACAGTATGAACACAGTCATCTACCGTCTTCCATCGACGTTGTGAAAATGGCGGACGAAGGTTGTACATCGAATGCTATCCCGAACGCAGAAATTGTCCGCGGACAAATATTCGAGGTCGGGCCTCGGTACACAAATTTAGCGTACATGGGCGAAGGTGCCTATGGTATGGTCGTGTGAGTATCAAAGTACTCTACCATTTCCTAATGCGTTCATGTTATTCTTCTCTCTCCCTCTTTTGAGCACTGTCTGTCGTCCTTTCTTTTCTCTGGCGCTCGCTCTTTCTATATCGCGCGAATTTTCATAAGGCTGAACAGTCAGATGAAATTTACACATTCGGCACAGCACGAGGAATAAATGCACGAAAGTAATATTATTTTCGAGATGATTCAAACAGTGAAGAGACGATTAATTGATTTTTTTTATCCTTGGTCTTGCCTCTGACGTTTACATTGGTAAATCGACGGATGGTGTAGTAGTCGGAGGGGAGTGAATATTCCATATTTTTCTTGATAGTACAATAAATTTTTGTTTATGTTAATGTAAGATGCTATTTCGTGACTCAATGCGGCGATGAGAAATTGATGATGACAAATCCATTATTAAATTTAGTTTTAAAAAGTCAAGTATCTATAAATTGTTACGTTAAATTGAATAATAAATACATTATCATATGCCCGTTGTCATATTCATAATGATTAATTGATTTAATTCCACCATTATTTTAACTGCAACTATCATTACAGCTCTGCGCACGATAATGTGACAAATACAAAAGTAGCCATCAAAAAAATTTCACCGTTCCAAAATCAAATTTATTGCCAAAGGACATTAAGAGAAATAAAAATCCTAAACAGATTTAAGCATGAAAATGTAAATTGCAAAACAGTTAATTATATCATAGATTGTATTAGTAATTTTAATTTATTGCTAATTCATTGCTCGTTATTATAGATTATAGATATAAGGGATATATTAAGAGCGCCAACTGCAGATCAGATGAAAGATGTGTACATTGTTCAATGCTTAATGGAAACCGATCTATATAAATTACTCAAAACTCAGGTAAATATAATATACTACTATTGCGTATATAATACTGTTTTTATTTGCTCATAATAACTACATTTAATAATTACATTTAATAATAACACTTGATTATAATATTTTTTAGGCTATTAGTAACGATCACATATGTTACTTTCTTTATCAAATTCTTCGAGGACTGAAATATATACATTCAGCAAATGTGTTACATAGAGATCTGAAACCTAGTAATCTACTCTTGAATACTACGTGTGATCTAAAGATTTGTGATTTTGGTCTGGCAAGAGTTGCCGATCCTGCTCATAATCACGATGGATTTCTAACAGAATATGTAGCAACAAGATGGTACAGAGCACCTGAAATTATGTTAAACTCTAAGGTACGTCGTGCGCTTTAAAAAATTCTCTGAAACTATAATTCATTAGTAAAATTAATTGCATAATTATTTATAGGGTTATACAAAATCTATAGATATTTGGTCAGTGGGTTGTATTCTTGCAGAGATGTTGTCTCGACGAGCCATTTTCCCTGGCAAACATTATCTAGATCAACTTAATCATATTCTTGGTATTCTAGGATCCCCTTCGCCCGAGGATCTTGAATGCATATACAATAAAAAGGTTTTATTCTTATATTTAATGAAAACAATTATTAATTATTAGACAATATTTTTACTTTTAATTTCAGGCCCGCAGTTATTTGGAATCCTTACCGTATAAGCCAAAGGTCCCTTGGACAATTTTATTTCCAAACGCAGACCTCAAAGCACTTGATCTATTAGATAAATTACTAACTTTCAATCCTAATAAGCGTATTGTTGTCGAAGATGCATTAGCTCATCCGTATTTGGAACAGTATTATGATCCAGCTGACGAAGTATATAACAATTTTTAATTACTATAATTATTTTTTATACCTTATATCGATAGTTGTATTTTCTTTACCACAGCCAGTTGCAGAAGAGCCATTTAAATTTGATATGGAATTAGACGATCTTCCAAAAGAGACATTAAAGCAGTATATTTTCGAAGAGACTTTACTATTTCAGGAACACAGCCAAGAAAATGCCATACAATAGCAATAAACTTTGTACTGATTAAAAGAATCTCTAACATAAAAAACCATTACTATCGATCTTTTAAGACGACTGAGAGAGATGCAAGATGGAAAAGCAGTGCAGATGATATTCAATCTGTTGATTAGTATTATTGTGGTATTAAAAGCAAAAGAAGAAAGATAATTCAATGACTAGAATAAGTTTCTGAAAAAATAAGTCCAACTATCTATATGTGACTATAAACGTTTAATATCTACAAATAGAAGAAAATTTCATTGCTTAACAAGATTAGATTTTAATTTGTAAACATATTTTTTTTCTTTCGTCAAATCAATATTATGTAGAATATATATTATATATGTATATATGTGTATATATATACATATATATATTCTCATATTGAGATGCTGTCTTATATTATCTGTGATTTAAGTACTAAACAAAGATATAACTGGTATACTATACGTTACAGAAATCAGTATGTCATGTCCAACATTGTATGGCAATTTGAAGTATAATGAAAAAAAGTTCTGCAATGACGGAAAAAAAAAATGAACGTTTTGCTGTTCTTTGGTGTAAAATATAATAATGATCTCAACATTCTTAATAATCTAGATGCAATTAAATGCTGTCTTTTAAAATGAAATAGAAAACAAACGAAATATTTGAAAATTATGTGATTTTTCAAAACTATTTTCTATATTACACAATCATAATTGTGTAAGAATATGATGAAATGTAAATTTATACTTAATAACTTTATTTTAATTTATTTGTTTTTTTAATAATGTGATATTTTTTCATAAGTCTATATTAGCTAAATTGAAACCTCAGATATCAAACATAGGTCAATATCGTTGAAAAATTGTATGTAATATTTCAATGAACATATTTCTGTTTATTGTTAATATTTTGGAGCATGAGACAAAAAAAAAAAAACGTATATATCTGTATATGTATAAGAATTTTACAAATTTACAAGAACTGAATGCATTAACTACAATATACTGTTGCAAATTGATGAAACTTTTACCTTAATAATAACAATGGCAATTTTAATGCAACATTTTAAAAAGGTCAAATTATATTTTAGGAAAAAAGTAGTGGCGTGCTAACAATTATTTATCTAGATGAAATTGTATGACTTTATACTTTTTTCAACGAATATTTTCTTGCCTAAAATAGTATTGTTGAAAATAACGAATGAAGAAAGAGCCTACTGCGTTTAATATTAATTATTGAAAATGAATATATTCATCTTAATGACATCCAAAATGGCGGCTGTGATGAGGTAAAATATTCAAAATTGACGAACTTTTTTGAAGTAAATAGATTGAATATTAAAAATTTCATAAAATTATTAAACGAGAATTATATTTTCATAGCTAAAGTAATTTATAATAAGCTTATGAATTAAGTCTTATCATCGATTGGGCAGTGGGCATATTTTGGTAATATTTTAAATACTTGGATCGCCCATATTTTAAACACATTTGCTTACAAGTAATTCTACAAATAGATATACATTGTAAATTGAATATTGATAATTAAACAAAGCAGGACTTTTTTTCTTTAAAGTATCTTTTGTAAAGTATATTTGAAGTTGTTCTTGTAAGTCTCATATTTGAGAAATTATAATATAAAGTGCTCTAGGTGGCTAGAATTTCTAGAAAACTATTACATTAATTTTTTATTAGTTCATTTTATCATGCTCAAAAAAAAGAAAATATAAATCTAGATATATTTTTATAATTTAAAAATTTTCACTTGAAAATACAAACAAATGTGTCCCATTTTGACAAGGCGTCTTTAGAGCGCCAACAACATTAAAAATCTTCACATTGAAGTTCTATCAACAATTTTCGTAAGAATAGATCTACAACAAAGTCAATATGTTTAATTTTAAACATTTCATTTTCATAAAAACTATTGTTAAAATTACGAACGACAAAATTAAATTAAGCAATTCGTAGAAGTAGAATATTAATTATTTTTAATAATTGTTCAATGATATTTTCAATAATCTCGGTTTCATCTTATTTATTTTTCAAAGCGCATCTATTAGTTTTACTATAATTTTTCTATATATCGAAATTGAAATTAATTAATTATATTTAATTCAATTTATTTAATTAAACAATAAATACCTCATAATCAAAAATAAATGTAAAATATTAAATGTATAAAATTAATTTTAATTAGTTTACAAAATCATGCATTATATGATAGAGTATCATTTTTTGGATAACAAAAAGTCATATAAATTTCATTTCGTGCCAAAGTCTAAATAAATTTTCACATATAATTCATATTTCTTTTAACTATACATATTTTCAGTATAAGGGATCGTGTTGTGTCAATATGTCCATTTGATATTTAATGTTACTAGATTCAGAAATATAAATGTCCAGATTAATTCATATAACTTTGAATATACGAAAAACATTTTTAAAAGTATATTTTTTGCAATTAATATATAAAAAATTTTAATATTATAGTTGAATGTTATTTAAATGTTTTACTTCATCATAATTAAGAATTATAATGTTTTTATAATACTATAACAGGCCAGATTCTTTGTTATACCATGAAGGTCGTTAATATGTAATTTTCTCATGCTTGTGGCATATATTTTTTAAGAACACTTTATAATAATCATAATTACAAAGTGAATATACAATGAATTACAGGTTTGTGTTCATTCCTTAGATACATAATTATCGTGATTGCATATTGTTTATTATAAGTACAAGGACTTTAAAAAAATTAACATTAATAAAATACTTCTTAATTATTAAATAAAACATTTTTATTAGAATAGTAATTTATTATTTTAAAATTAAGTATTTTTACATGACGGATAGATATAAAAATTTCATTTTATTAGTCAACACATTTAGTAATGCTTTTTACATTTTCAAATATCATGGAAATCACTATAATAAATTCTTTTCATTTTAATGAATAATTGTAATATTAAATAATTTAGAATTTTATTTTAAAACATTATCAGCTGCATACGTAATAAAAATAAAACCAATATTAATCTTCCACTTATAATAACGAGGATAATATTTTAATTTATTAAAATGTAATTAGAAAACTTGGGATATATATTTTTATATAGTTTTTGTTAAATAATGAAATTTTGTTTGCTCATGGTAATATTTTCCAAATATTTTATTTTTGTACAAATAAAACCATTACAAATCTAAAATCTGTTTTTGTATTTTTATATATGTACTTTGTTTGTTTTTTAAATTAAAAATATTTACAAAAAATTTTTTGTCATTATGTTAGTATTATAAAATTAATTATCTGTTTAATATTTTCAATTAATAAAATAATACGTAAATTGAAATAATTTTACAAAAACTTTACTGGAATATTTTTTGCCAATAATATTTAAGGATTAAAGGTTTTTGTATTGAGTATTAATAATAATAATTATTATAAGAATGGTAACATTTGTTTGAAAACAATGCATCTCGCGCAAGAGAAGATTTCTATTAAAATTAATTATGATGTACATGAGAATATTTATACATAATAAAAAATTAACTATGTTGCAGGAGCTTATCGCATGTTTGAATGATACAATGTCAATTTAAAATTTGCGAAGAATGAAAATTAATAATTATAAAGTGTTGTAATTGATATAACAGCGATGACAAATCGAACAAAAATTCTGTATGAATGTACATGAAATCTTCATTATAAAAAAATCGTTGTTACTATATAGGCACATGTATTTCGATTTTTCTGTATATTAGTATTCAACGTTGAAAACTAAAATATTGTAATTTTGTTTTATAAAATACATGACTAGAAATATTTTATCGATATTAATACTTGCACATATTGATATTATATTGTAAAAAGCGACTAGATTTTCATTTATCAGTCAGTATTTTTGAAGTGTTCTTGTAAAATTCTACCGTCTTGTAATCGGCTTATTGATAATTATTAAAGTAAAATTTTACAATTGGCTAAAATAACAATTGTTGCACTATATATCTTCTTTGTTATAGTTATGTGAGTATTCTGTATAGAGGATGATAAACATTTATTAAGTATTTGAAGATTCACAGTTTTCAATATAATATGATAATGTATTGCCTCATCCATTGTTTAATATGAGAATATTAATACAAAAAAAAAAAAAAAGGTATTCGTTGATAATTCAAGAGCTCGAATTTCGGCTATTCTATACAGTTACCAAAATAAATAGTTTAAATTTTCTACGGATTCAGAGTAATTGAAGAGTTAAACAGAGTTTTTGAATTCTAGATAACTTGTCATAAAAATGTATACGATACTGCGATTAAAGTATTTATTGTATTACCCGTTACATAAATGTATCAAGTGGTTTACATTATTAGCATATAGTAAAATAAACAGTTAATGAAATCGCAATGTGTTCCACGTAAAAACGTTAAACTTTGTTCAATCATACCTTAATGAATCAAAGCACTTATTCATCTTTCGTTATGTTAGAGAATTTAAGTCGTTGAGTTTGAATATAATTTAAATCTGTTGCCGTGAATTTTGTTTTCCTTCTTTATTTCAATTATTGTTTTGAGGAGCTATGATTGTCAAAAGGATCGATTGTCTTCATTTATAAATTTATATTTTATAAACTTTAATATATTATTTAAATGTAGAAATATTGATTTTAAACCAAATATATAACAAAATATAACAGTAAACGAAGAAATAAATTTGTTATGGAATTTCTGTGGCAGATATTACTCATCGTAATGGTTCAAATTGCTTGAGTATTATATCAAAATATCCGAAAGAATAGATAAGTAAGACAGATTTTAACAATGGTCTACTATTCAATTAAAAAATAATTCAAATTCCTTAAAAAAAAAAAAAAAAAAAAAAAAAAAAAAAAAAAACTTACTTTTACAGTATTTTCTGTAACCCTATAATTTAATGAACATTATATTATAGAAATGTAAAACAAATATAATCAGATATTTGTTAACGCGATATGTAAGCGTCAAATGTTATACACAGTTATTTCGTGTATCATTACTTGTAATAAGTATCTTCTAAAAAATATAATACTTTCAATTACTAATTCTATGTTGTGTAAGAAATATATTCATCATTAACAGCCACAATGGAATATTGATAATGAATATAAACAATATGCAATATTATTATCTATAGAAATATAATTTTTCCTGTTACAAATTGAGATTTCACGATCTTTTTTAACCTTTGAAATTCATAATCTTAAGACTGGTTCTAAATATTTAACTGGCCATTGATTACTTAGATTAAAAAGTGTAAAATCTAATAGAATTCATTATTTCTAATAGAATGTTATATCATAATTTATATCAGCCATTAAAAATTCGTAATTAAATTGTGAAAGTTAAATGATAGTTGCAGAATTTATAAAAAAAAAATTATATAATCATTAAAATCAACGTGAAAATATAATAACAGATGAGGGTATCGATATTTCCATAAAAGTTAAAATAATAATATTAAAAATAATAAATATTTTAAACATTTTACTAGTTTGTTATTCTTCACATGTAAAAAAAGTATGAAAATGAGACGCTTTGGTATCATTTAATATTATACGAAAAACTTCATGAAATCAAATTAAATCAAACTTATATAGATAAATAATATATACAAAATTTATAATAAATTTGTACATATTTCAAATTAAACATTGATATTTGTATAAATTATAAAATTACAAATAGAAAAAAATTCAATCCGAAAATATCTTCGATACATTAATTCAAAATTAGAGATTGGAAGTGCTTAAACTTACATGAGGTATTTGTATAAAGATTATTTATAAAATAAAAATGAGTACATTCTTTATATTGTTTCATACTTTTCAATAAATTAAACTATAATATTAAAATAAAAATATCATTAAAAATTTTATTTAGTGCACAAGCGATGATGCAAGCACACTTATAAGTAGTAAACTTAATATAAGTAATAATTCTAATATGACTTGTTTTATTATTTAACATAATTTTTTAAAAAGTAAAATAAATTTCTAAAGCTAATAATTTAAATATTTTCTGACTTTTATAACTTTAAAAATTAAAGCATATAATAACGAATAAGTATAAATTATATTTCATTCATTCAATTCATTCAATCAATAATATATTAATACATTCAAGGGAATTAAATTCATAAATTTCTTTTAATGCTTGGAATATTTGATATATGTTAAGAAAATTTTTTTTGTAATCTTATCAACAAATGTAAACCATCATCTATTTAATATTGATTTATTAAGTCATTTATTACAATCATTAATTTATATCATGTAAAACTTATTAAGTAAAGGAAAACTGTAAACTGTAAGCAATATTTCAATTGCATATGAAGAACGTAACACAGTTTATTCATATAATTGATTATATTCTACAAACATAGGTAGATGAATATACTTTAATTATATTATAAAAGCCAAGTATACTAATTGCTCGGTCCATTATAATTTACACAATACGACTTTTTAAGTTATAAGTTAATTTACATATAATTTTTACTCTTAATTAATAAAATTTATAAATAAAACAAATATATTAGAATACACAAGTATATATAATATTTATACATAAATGCAAATCCAATATTTTTTATGTATAATATCTAGATTATATTTTGTAATAATTTTTGTTACCTTAATATTTAAAACGTCCATGTATGAAACTTATGTAAGCATATCATGTCAATTTGTCAATTATATAATAAATAAATGTTAATTCTTTATTTATAAATTTTGTTTAGTTCAATTTGTATAAGGTTTATTATAACCATATTAAATTTTAAGCAAATCTTTGTAGATTACATATAGTTTTATACAATACTTTATTTCAATTTTTTCTTTACTGAAAAATGATATAATTCATTTACTTTTTTTAAGATTATCATTTTTGTTTTGTATAGAAGAGATAGATAAATACATAAAACTTAAACATTTTTCATGAAATAAATATTCGTTCTTTTTGAAATTTCTTCAAAATTTTTTAGAAACTGAATTCGTTTTTAATACTTGACATATTTTTATATACTGCACTTACAACTAGATTACTATTAAAATTTCATTTGCATGTATATAAAAGGCTTTTAATATATTTATGCAAACAGCTTGTAATACATATATATATATATATATATATATATATATAGGTAGATAAATCACACTAATACCTCGATGTATGAATGAGAATAGACGGAGATTATGTTGTCACATATAAATTGAATACACCAACAGTCATTTTTTTTAATTTAATATTAAACTAATTTTAAGCCAAAATTTAATTTGCACTTTAAATTTCTTTATACCTTTATATATCCTTCTTACAAATAATTCCAATAACTTATTATTTTATATACAAAAAATACTACAACGTTCTTTTATTAGTTCATCGCATTTGTTATATCTTTTTGATGAAATACGTAAAAATATTCAAATAAATGAGTGGTCGAATTCAATTGAATAAAATTTTGTTAATTATTGCTTTAAAAACTTGTAATTGTATTTATAATATACAAAACTTGTTTATATTATATTTTAATTCTTAAATTCATGTTTGTTACTGTATTGAATTATTTACTATAAAAAATCTCGTAACTTTTTTATAGAAAAAATTAAAATATCATTGGAATCGTGAAAAAAAAAAATTATTCACAATGTATAAATTTAAAATTTAATTAAATCGTAACATTTTAAATAATTATAAATAAAATTTATGATCACAATTTTTATAAATATAACATATTATTTATAATTTTATGAAATAACATATATAAATTTTTAATTACTAATAAAAATCGGCAGTGATACTTATACATTAATTAACAAATAAAATATTTTAAATAATAATAGAAACTGATGAAAATTATAATATAAGAATTGGCATATAAGAAGTGTTTACATACAGTTTTAAAAATTTTTATAATACGTGAAAAAGTTATAATTATTAAAGTCAATAAATTAGAAAACATTTGTTAGTATCTAAAAAGTTGCTTCTGAATAGCTTGAAAATTTTCGTTTCATAATACAATCATTATAAATTTTTTTTATTTGATACAATCAATTGTTAATTTTTTTAATATAAAACCGCTAAGTATAATGAATAATATTAAAAAACGAAGATTATTTATGATAATTGATGTAAATTAATATAATTTTATTAATATAAGTTTTTTGTTTTTATTAAGCTTTTGCTTACTAAGTACTATCTGTACGTCAATATAATTGTAAATCTTCGCAGTAATATAAAGGTTTTTATAGTTTTTTTTTTTTTTTTTTTTTTTTTTTTTTTTTTTTATAAATCTATTTTAAACTTTACTATTTTCATTTAAGGACAATCTATAAAATACCTTATTAACTATTAACGTGGATGAAATTCAATAGCCTATTTATATCGGACGAATTTTATGAACTTTATTATTTTCAATTCCTAAAAATGGAACTAAGTTAAATCGACGGACTATTTGAAATTCTTCTACTACTGGTATGCGATTTAACGAGTAATTAGGAACGTGAAAGGTTACACTCGTTAAAAATAATGTTGTCTGTTTCTCGATAATTGTTCCTTTATCACTACGAAAATTACAAAAAATGATTTCAACAATTAGACATTAGCTCAGATAAAAACTTATCTATAAGCGTCAAGTATAAAATTGCAGTGAGAATACATTTAAAAAAGATAACTAATTATTGATATAATTTTTGCATATAAGAAATATTGAAAAATGAATTACAGTAATTCAGCCATCCTTAATTATAATTGATATTTTATATCATTCAATTTTCATTGAATATTTAATTTAATTGAATAATTAATTTTTAACATAAACAGTTATAGTATAATATCTATGTTAATAAATCAGTTCTGTATATGATGAGTATAAATGTGTAAGAATCCTTGGCGATTAACAAAAATTAAATTATAATAATCAATATTTTACAGTATTTCAAATATGCAAATAGTTGTAAGGAATTTTTTAAATGCATTTATACTTTTTCCGTAAAATTTTAATATCTGTGTATGTGTCTCTGTTCCTTTTTCTCCCTGTCTATGTGCGCAAATAGAATTTCATATTATTATTTAGAATAATTTCTAATAACTTTAATAAAAGAATATTTACATAACAAAATATAATTTGCTATTATATTTATAGAAATGGGCAAATTATAAGTCTTAAAATATATAAAATTCGTTGATTTTTTTCTTCTAAATTCAGTTTCAATTTTTTTTTTTTTTTTTTTTTTTTTTTTTTTTTTATTGAAACTAATATATGTATCAATTTTATTTAAAGACAATGTCTAAATAGTCTCTAATATCTATATATATATGCCTATATTATTAATAAAATAAAGAATGTTAAATTTTATTTCTTATTCTTATAGTACGTACGCCCATTTCTGGTATTACTATTTTTTAATTGAATGAAAATGTCTCGAATAAAATGTAAGTATAGGAGTAAAGTGACCAATAATAAAAGCTAAAATTACAATCAAAAGTGAACGGCAACAGCAGCTGCTTCACCTCTGCTGTTGGGAAGTGGAGCGCATTCAAACCATTTGCACAAAAGTGGATCATAACGTTCGACGGAAGATACTGTTATGTGTCTCCAATAGAAATTAATTTCTTGCTGATGATCACCACCTATTACATATAAATGGTTATCAGCTGCCGCTACCGCAGGGTATGATCGACCGACAGTTAATGGGGGAATTATAGCCCATGTATTCTGAAAAAAAATATTGTTTGTAAATAATATATCTCTTCTTTTTTTAACAGAATTTTCCATATCAACAAGTCCTATACGATTCTATTTTCTCCTTTGTAGAATTAAAATTAAATTGGATAAATTCAAACTTATTTTAACGATTTTATTTGAATCTGCAATATTTATAAAATGAAATTCAAATACTTATTTTAATGAAAATTCTATATCTTCTTTATAGTATGCAAATGTTGAGATGCAAATATTGATTTGCTATTGATGCTATTGAGTTATTCAGACTATTGAAGATGTGTTTGAAAAGAGTCAATCATCGGGTTTGATCGTGCTGTATAATAATTGTAATAGTGTTTGCTTGATTCTGCTTTATAATAATTACAATATATTGGAACGACAACTTATCAAATTATTATTTCAATTAATATAGTATAATTGAGATATGAGTTTATGGCACAAAGCCAAACAGAGTAATATCGTAGGTTGAATGTTACAATACCTTGAATAGCATATTAAGTATAAACACCTGAGCACATTAACAATTTAATATCTGCTTTAAGACAACCATTTAATAATAGAAAAGACATATGAATATATTAATATATTTAATATAACATATAGGAATATCTATTGTTCAGAGAGTATGTTGCTTTTATTATTTTACGATTCGTTTTCCAGCGACAAAACAAGTCTTATCGAGTGCTAATTAATTCTAAAGACCCACAGCGAAGAATAGGGTACAATATTACTGTTATCGAAAAAAGTTTTTAAAAAAATTTTTCAAATATAAATAAGTTTTCTCAGTGCTATAACAAATATTCTTATAAAAAAAAATGATTTTATTGGAAGGAAGCGAATTGGTTATTTAACTACAAACAAATTTTCTCCTTTTGAAAGCATATAAATATAAAATCTATAAATCGTTATTTGCCCATAGAAGGAAAAATTCTAATATTAAAAACTTAATTCTTATTTATAGCTTTATATAAATTTTATTAATTAATTTCTCTCGACAGTGCTATTATTTGTCATATTTATCCGCACATTTAACCAAAATTTTTCATATAATGCTTTCTTCGATTATTTTTTCATTTTTACTCTTATCTATTTCAAAATAATCACTTTCGTATTACACTAAAACCATCCGATAATGCTGTTATGTACAGATATATATTTTTAATTCGTTTCAATATTTTATAATTATTGTTACCTACATAGTATATATATATGTATATAGCAAATACCATTTTATCTGCAAAATGTTCATGACATTTTTTTTTTTTTAAGTAGCTTCATGATTGTCTTGATCATTAATATTTATCTTTACTCCAACGATTATTTAACAATATAAATTCAATGAATTTATCATAATATCTAGATTTTTTTTTCGGTAATAAGTTTGTAAGATGAAATTATACATTTACTTCATTTTGTATCACATTGTAAAATAAAATATCTTTAGAAATTATTTTACATCATAATAATTAACAGAAAATCTTTTTAGTATTATGTTGTATTTTAATCAATGCATCATACCAGTGATAAACTAAAAGTACACGGCGCTTCGTAGAACCGTAAAATAAATATTTTTAGACTATTATAATCGATAACTAAAATGAAGTATATTATTCCTATATATTATTAATTAAATTATATTTCTAATTATTTTAATTAAGTAACTATTGTTTACTTTTTTAACTGTTGTTTAATTTTTATTTTTAATTCCTACAAAGGGCATTCTAAGTATTTATAATTTATTATATTAATTAAATTTTTTATTCGTGCTTTAGATTTAATTGGGGAATTTCAATATGAAAGTTTTATAAAATTTGTATTATATGATAAATGTAATATAAGTAAAAATAATATATATTCAATTTTTCTATATAAAATTTATATTCTTTCTTTTACAGATAATTTATTAGTAATATACAGATAATATATTATTTTTCCATTAATAGAGGATTATTAGTTTCTTTTGTGTACGAATGAACAATAAAACATATATTAATTTATTATTGAATAGGATAATATTCAAAAACATAAAATTCATGTATGCAATGGTTGCGATTTTTATTTGAAAATTTAATTTGAATCGCATGAATGTTACAGCCGCAAATTTGTTTCAGAATGAAAAAATTTTCTTTTTATTCAGAAATTTGTGTATGAAGATAAAACTTATATATAACTGTAAATGTTGAAGCTTCAGAAAAGCAATTTTTCTACAGTGTAATTCAAAATTTCAAATATTTTGAGCTATCTAGTTCCTTTTCGTTATTCATGTGATTCATCTAGTTATTTATAATCATAATAATCATATGAGTGCGTCCCTTTTGACTTTTCCTATTATAAAATCGATTCCATAAAAAATTCAAGGGCATCGTGTTTAAAAATAATCTAGTCGCTTTAATAATAATTCTTAAGACTCACTAGGGAATAGGTACTTTCATAAATCAAGTGCTAAAATACTGATGTATGTAAAAGTTTTTAGATTATTAAATTTTGATTTAGTGCAAATACATAAAGATTAAATAAATATATAAGTATAAAGATTACATATCCTACCATATTATTTGCATCCAGCTAGTCTTTCTCGAAATTTTTTTAAAAAACTCTGTTTCGAACAGAGATTTCAATTATTTCCTCTTAACTGTTACAGGTTCTCAAAGCACCAATTTTCTCAACTTCAACTTCGGTTCTTCCTCTAATTTGATACCGCTTTTGTCATTTTGACGAGCAATTCTGAACAATTACACCAAATTGATTTCATTACTAGTCTAAATTTTACCACCACCAACCCCCCCCCCCTCCTCTTTTTTTCTCAAACACAATCGATCAGCAGTTCTGCATGCTCGCCAGTGTAACATATAATTGTGTACTTCTTAGATAATTTACTATACTATTTCTTTATTGATTTATCAGCTATTACTATTTTTATGATTAATGTTTATTAATGCATTATATTTTATATTGCAATTATGCTTCTATTAATTAACTATTACTGTTACGAACTATGATTAAATCGTCAAAAAAAGAATTTTTTTATAATCCACGATGAACTAGTACAAATTACTCCGATTTCTACACAATGAATTTATTGAAATTATTGCAAAATTTAAACAAATAATTATTTTATTTGTTGCGCAAAGAGTCTGTATTATTAATTGTTCGGCTTTACTTTCTTCTCTTTCCTGCATTTATTCTTTTTAATATTGAGATTATGCAAAAATTACCACAAAGCACATCGATGTAAATTTTATATTTACATAGATTTTTAATAAAGTAAATAGTTATGTCGATATTCTGTATTTATCCTAATATAATGTGTTATCATTTTAATTTTTGTTACAAAAAGCTTGGAGCAGCCAATTTATTATATTGTTATAAATCTATTTCGATATACAATAATTTTTAAAAAATATTCAAACTTTAAAAACGTTCGATCTAAATAATCCCTTGCTTCAAACCCTCTATAATTAAATATTTGTATTTCCTTGATGTTAATGAAAAATTTAATTTATAATTTATGAATAGTTGTTAATAAATTTTTACAAATATTGATAATTGTATTAGAATCATTTTTTAAGTTCGAAATAATCATGGAGGTACGTATTCGGTATTTACTTCGATTTGGATTTGATAATTCAGTTTTCAATTTCATGGATGCTAATAATTTTTAAATTATCTTTTCGTTTGTTTATTAATTATCGTACGTTGTAAAAAATATTAGTGGATTTGTTTGTATATCGTCACGACCTTTAGGAATTTCCATCATAAATCAATATTTCGGCAGAACTAAATTTATTTAGATAGGTCATAACAATACTATAATTTTTTTTTTTTGGTCTGTTTAATAAAGTAAATAAAAACACAAAAAATTGATAATATTTACAACTACACATTTATGCTATGCTAACTTACCTTTTTAAAAGAATATCTTTCAACGGATGATAAAACTTCTTGATATTTATTGGTCCCTCCAACAACGTACATATAGTCATCGAGTACAGCAATACCCATTTGCGAACGAGGTGTCATCATTGGTGCCAATGATCTCCATTCTTGCGTCGATGGATTATAACTCATCACATCCTTACGATGCCTAATATCATGTGAACATCCGCCAACAATGTATATGAGCCCTAAAAAATGTAATCGTTCAAACTATTGTATTTTATTATAATTTCTTGTTTTAATAAAAAATTTCTAATAACATAACAACGTCTTAATGTTATATTTTGTATTTAAATTTTATAATTATTAAGTTGCAACTATATTTTAACATGATTGTGTTATAATATAATACCATATGATTATAAGATGATGAAATATAAAAAAGTAATGTATATCCATTATCTGTTTAATGGATAGCTGATTAAACATTAATTTACATATTTTAATATAAATAAATTTTTGTATTTTTAATATTTTTATATGTTCAATAAGCGTGATAGCTTGAAAATTAAAAAAGTACAATAGTTAATAGATGATTATCAAACCATCGTAAGCGACGACACCCATGCTGAATCGTGGCTCTGGCAGTTTTCCACTAACAGTCCAAAAATTAATCACTGGATCGTAAATCTCTATAGTATCGCCAATATCTTCGCCAACCCATCCACCAAAAGCATATAAATTATTATTAAAGGCGCATAATCCAAATTCACATCGGGGCTCCACCATACAAGCTATAGATGTCCATACGTTGTCGTGAGGATCATAGCATTCGCCACTGGCGATAATATCATAATCTATCTCCCCGCCTACGACATACACTTTTCCACTTAATAGCGCAACTCCGGGCAACACTCGTTCTATTTGTACAGGCGCAACTTCGCTCCATGTGCTGAAAAAAATCATATATGATTGTTAATAAAAATTCTTAAATGAAATTTACAATTAATTAAATATTCGAACATTTATTTATTCGACTACGTACTTCTTAAATGTATTGTATTTATTAACGGTATCGTAGATTGATTCGGAGGGCTTGACCCATGTGTTCGAATCACGTTTTATGCCGCCAATTACTAAAATATTTTTTTTAGCACAATGGCGAGGTTGTACTCGAAGTGGTACAAGGCATCCCTTATTACAAATTAGGTCCTTTTTAATAGAAGTCAATGCTACTGTAAGACTTCCATCGTTACATTTGTAAATTATTTGATTTAAACAAGCCATTGAGCATAGTCGTAGTCTTATGTGACTGAATATTTCGAATACGTAACAACGTCGAGCAGGTATATCATGAGTAATCCAATTATACGCGGCTTCAAAAACCTAAAGCAACAATTTTGTATTAAAATTTTATTTATTAATAAATTGCTATCAATTATTTTTATATCAAACTTGGAATTCGGTGTCAATGTGAATGTTTTCACTGCTTAGAAAACTGACTAAATGCTCCTTTGGTAGATCAAGAAATTCCTCTTCCTGTGAAACCCTAGGAAAATTAATTTGAATAAAACGTAAGGCAGTTTCTAAAAGATCTGCGCAATTGTGAGTCTCTGCAAATCTATAAAAATGACAAATTAATTACTTTGGTATATTTATTTTTTTTTCATTATTGATCAATTAGAAAAATTATGAATGAATTTCAGTTTAAGCTAAGTGCATTCGTTACAAATGACAAATGCAGTAATTTAATCCTACAGTAAATAAAACAATACCTATAAATTCCAAGGGCATTCGAAAAATGTAATTGCTCTTCTAGATAGGAAATGCAACTAGAAACTACCTCGTTCAATTCTAGCATATCCGCAGCTGCAAATAGCTCCTGAACATTATCTTGTGTCACATTCACATTTCCAGAATAAATAAAATCTATGAGTATCGATAAAATATTTTCAGGTATCGAATGAATCTCTACAAGCTCTTGTTGCTCTTCGACCAATCCACCGGTAAACATAGCATTGAAATAAGCGCTACTTGCAGCTAAAACAGACCTGTGAGCTCTAATAATTGTATTACCAACGATCAAACCAACATCACTAAATTGATTGTTAAGTCTTTGTGAATTCAAATTTTGCAAAACCTTTGGTGCATATTGTCCAACGGTATATACAGAGTTGGAATTATCTGATATTTCATTTTTGGGTTGTGCTGGAAAATTCATAGAGTTACTGTTGATTTCACTCTTAATTGGAGCTACTGTACTGTCAGCCATGAGACTGTCTAATTGACCTTTATCAACAGCACCTGATAATACATTAATTAATACATACAGTAATAATAATAATAACACAAGTGTAACATAATGTGTAATAACACAAATAATAATACAAATATATTACATTATATTGTAATTTATTTGACAACTTCCATGTATTCCAACTAAATTATACCAGCAGGCATTATTTGTTCAAACAATCTTGTGTATATGTAAATTTACAATGTTCAAATTATTTATATAATTTAATAAAATAAAAAAGATAATTATTAATAGTTTTACACTAATATGAATTATTAAATGGTATATTAACGGTACTATCTACAATAAAAATATAGACTAACTTTGCTTGTTATATCGATGATTTTAATAAGATTATGTGAACAAGATTTAATAACATTTCGTCATATTTATAAAAATCAAATCTCTTTTATGATTGCTATATTTATATCGATAATAAAATATTATTTATTAATACAATTTCATTTAATGTATAATTATTTCTTTATATATCAGTATATATTTACAATATTTATTATATATAATTTAATTATAATGTGATAATTGGTCGATAAATATTTATATTTATAATAGAATGTTCATACGCTTATATGGTAAATTTATAATTTACTATATTTTGAAAATAAATCTATGAAAATAAATATTTAAATATTAAAATATTATTCATTTAGTTAAATCATTAGTTACTCTAAATGAAAGTACAAGTTACATATTAAAGTGAATTATAAACATTATGTGAACGAAATTTATGCAAAATCTAAAATTAACAAATACATTTGTCAGTAATAAACCCATTTAATCTAAATAACGCTCATTTTAAATGAACTCATTTATAACGAAATGGAAGACAACAAAATTAAGATGATATTTTTAATTAAGAATAAATGTATTATATGTTATTATTTGTTATGTTCCTTTGTTACTTACGACATATACGGGAAAGAGCCTTGTAAACGCTGGGAAACGACTTTCTGTTATGTTTCCCTTTAAGACGCATAATTACCACTTCATTTTTTAGTTCGATTAGATAAAAGATGAATACACCACCGTTCTATATTAAGATTCTAACTGAAAGTAATAGCTGTAGCTGATTTAATAATCGTTAAACACATATGCAAATATCGAAATAGTATATCGGCTGTCAAGTCTGTCAAGTGTCTCTCTCTCTCTCTCTCTCTCTCTCTCTCTCTCTCTCTCTCTATCTCTATCTCTCTATCTCTCTATCTCTCTATCTTTATCTATCTGCTTTGAGTTATTTATTATCTAATCATTTAATCCTATGACTCAAGCACAATAAATTCATAGTCTCTCTATAATTTGGCATTATCTTAGCCAAGTAGCAAATGTCAGTTGCAAATGATAAGGAATCGCGGTTAACAGGAGATTCGTGAAATTGTTTTGTACGTTTTGATAGATTCGCTACGAGGAATATCGAACAGTATTACATCAAGTGCGCTCGCATGCGCATTAATGTTTCGTCGATCATTGGCTCACAAAAACGGGCGCGATACGATTCGACGGTGTGAGAGAGCATTGGCCATATGTGTCTGAGCATGTGACGAATGTTGCATGGACCAATGAGTGTGGGAACGCTAAAATCCATGCGAGTGGGGAGGATATTTGCCCGATATTGGAAAGGCCAGCAACCGTCGACTTTCGAGAGCAGTCCGACAACCAAATCAATCACCATTATTTTCATACTCGAGGCAAGGCCGGTTATTTACTTTTACTTTGTAATGAATCTAAGTGATGCGAGATAATTTTTCATTAATTACGAAGTATTTACGAGATCTTATGGGAAATCATGTTTTAATAACTCATCGCGATTTCCGCGATTTCCGCGATTTCCACGATTTCCTTTCCTTTTAGATGTGCTTGTGTTTAATCGAGTTGAACAAATCTTATTGAATTATAAATTATTTTATATGACAAATCGTATACTATTCCCGTCGCTTAGGGGATATGCAAATATTTAGTGGCAATATTCGAGATTGAAGTCAGTTTCAATATCGCCGATTGTCGGCATCGTCGGCCCTTTCAGATCTCACATTTCTGTAAACACTTGGATGAGAATTTTTCGTCTACTTGTTATGTTTTGGTTTCGAGTGGCCCGCAATGTTTATATAGTCATCGGGTAATAATAACATCACCCGGAAGTTTTCTATCGATATTACGCTCTACTACTCATCTTTCGTTGAATTCTCGATAATTCTAGATTTTTCTTTTTTACGCCTCGTGTAAGATTCCAGTGAAACAACGACGATACTTTGTTGTCAGCTAAATGAGCCGCCGCGTGGATATATAAGGCAAGCACGCGGCGCGCCTCCCTCTCTTACTGACCGGCCCTCTTGCCGAACCACCCTCGGCTCAACAGCGCTTGCGGCTAACATGTTGTTGCCGTGACACGACCTCAGTGACACCGAGCATAGTGAACCGATCTAATCATCTACCAAGTAGTAACACTTCGAAACCCTACGGGCCCGCAAGAATAGATCGGGCAAACTTACGTTCTCTCGAACTAACACTTCGACCCCGTACAAGCCCGTCGCAAGTGTCGACGCAAGTAACGCAATTCGTCAAGCACATTGTCGTCAAGGCCAGACAACATTTTATCGAATAATCGACTATAAATACAGATTATTAAGTCCTACAAGAGCTCGAAGGCTTATCATTAACCACTCTTACCTGTGACTAGACTCTTTTACTGCCCACCCCCAAATAATTAAAGACACAATTGATGATTACTCACTAAATTCCAGTAAACATCTTACACCATATCAAGTATATTTATTCATACATCGAGCGTACTTGATTCAACTACCATCTTCTCATGCTAACTCACCACAAGCATGATTGACTGACGACATCAGCTGATATTTACAACATCAGCATTACCTCAACTTCAAGATACTCAGTCATATCCAAAGAACACACCCTCATTACTTCAATAGAATACTTCTCTTCTCTCTCCACAACAGTGAAATATTATTATAATCATTTACCAAATAATAAACATTGATCTTACTAAAATTACATTATATATAATATTTGTCAGCCCTTGCACTTGTTATTTCCTTTAAAGTTATCCTGACGAGAGACTAATCCACTGAACTATTGAATTGACAGTTCGAGCGATAAACTAAACCCTTAAAATCGAACAGGCAATCTATACAATTCTAAGCTCAGTTTGTCATAAACATTTCAAGCATTAATTATAGATCCAAGCAACAAAGAAATAATTTTGTTATTCTAAAATAACAAAACGATATCAAAAGTAGTTTTTCCCTTTTAATTGATTATAATAGACCACTAATATACCATGTTATATCGACTTTAAACAATTTTATTTTCACCATAGTTTATCATTGCGCAAAATATTTTATTTAAACAAATTGTTAAATGATTTTCGTAACGATTGCGTGAAATTGATGAATATTTAGAAGCTGAAGATTATTTAAAATATACATTTTTTAAATTTTAAATACCTAAAACTTTTAGCACATTTAACATAGCATTGTATAATTTACGATAATACCATTTTTTTTTCTTTTTTTTTTCTTTTTTTCCAATAATTAATTGCTTAGCCGAATATTTAATTACTTTTTTATCATTGGGATTACAATGGTATAGCTCGGCTTGTATTTATTAGTTCAGCAACGTCTGTAAGATAAAAATGATCGGGAAAAAATTGAAAAGTCAATTTCATTGGAAAAACATTTTGATCATTCATTATTATATACAATACTATACTATACAAATATGATTTTATATTTAATAATTATTTTCATTAAATTTTATTTTACGATATAAACATTTATAAATTTTGTTCCAATATATAATGTGAAAACGATATTTATAATTTAGTTTTAATACGACAAATAATGATTATTATAATGGTTAATAAAAATTGTGCCACGATTATAAAACTTTGCAAAATGGAATTAATTGTTTTACTGGTTGTGTAGGGCCCAAATTTTTAACGAGGCTTGAATCTTATTATTACAATGCTCGTCTAAAAGCACTTGCATATATAAAATTATTCTCAGTTTACTTATATGTTTATACATTTACATATTTATTTTGATCATATATTCTTCTCTTATGCTAAGAACTATTTAAAAATAATTTTAAAATTTCAATCTGTATTTTGAATTTGTAATTCACGACTGATATCAGTGAATAGTTTTATATATATAATTTGGATTATCGTTGCTCAATTTTTGCAATTAAGCTCAGTTTATTAGTTTAGTGATATCCATCTAGTGACTATTTTTTTCATTAAGTAAATACTTTCATTCCGGTATATTGGTATTCTATAATTTACATGTTTTTAGTGCTCGAACCTTTGTGCTATATAGGTTATTTCTCACAAATTACTCATTTTAAAAATAATATCTGTCTATAGTTGTTACATTTTTTACTAACTGAATGACCGAATTCTTAATTATTGCATTTCTTAAAAAATGACGCATATTTCGAAGGATAAGAGGGCATATGCAAAGTTCACGGTAAGTTTATGTTTCTTTACATTAACGAAAAACTATATTAATGTATTTATATACAATCGTGGTTATCCAACTTTGATAATAATATATTTATTTTAAGGGTGTCAATAAACACGACGAATTTCTTAATCGAATATCTAAAACCTTGTATTACACAAAATTGCCAGTAACGGATTGTTTGAGTTTACCTGTAACAGGTGCTTATGCTTTACATTGCATTCTAAACGATTGTAAAATTTTATCCATTGGTTAATATTAATTTATAAAGTAATCAATTGCTTTACAGAGCTGGCTGCTGAAATTTTTACAGAAGTAAAAAATGGACAAACTTTGGAACGATTGGACGTCGAGGAAGCAAGTCGCATTTCAAGAAATGCATGTGTATCACCGTGTTCGCTTGTTTTAGCTTTATTGTACCTCGAGCGATTGAAAGATTGTAATCCAGAATATCTTCAAAGAGTTGCTCCTTCTGAACTATTCTTGGTTTCATTGGTATGCATTATTTATTTCTGTTTAACATTGAAATTACATAATTGTGTAAAAAAAAATTTTTCAGATGATTGCCAGCAAGTTTTTACACGATGATGGAGAGGAAGATGAAGTTTTTAATACAGAATGGGCTAAGTGCGGTAACTTAAGTATTGCAAAGATGAATCGATTGGAAAAAGACTTTTTAAAAGCCATAGTAAATATTTTTAAATTTAATCAATAAATTTTACTAAATACGTTTCTGGATATTTGCATAATGTAATTTAAATTATAACTTAAATACTAATCTTTTAATTTATTTTGCATTTAGAATTGGTCTGTCTACGTACATAACAAAGACTTTTGGGATAGGCTACATAGGTTAGAAAAACACATTGCATATAAAGAGGCTTGTAAAAGAGGTTGGTTTTCTTATACGGAACTCAATACTTTATTCAATTCGACTCAGTTAGCAGAATTAGTGTATACAGCCATAAGTATTTCGTCGGTGTGTTTTGCAACCTACGCAGCCGGATTAATTACCTTACTTGGGTCGGCGATAGTTGCATCGAACTTACCTGGGACTTTAATAAGTTCAAAACAATACGCTCAACCTACCAGTGCATTAAATCTGCAACTTACATCGTCGACGCATCGAATTTCGCAAATTGAACTTCAAGAACAAATTGAGAATATTTTATTAAATTCAGTTTCTAAACCGTCTGAAATTTGTAATAATTCTTCTGTAGAAAAAGACATTACTATCAGAGTTAATTGGAAATGGATAATTGATTCGGTTATATTTTGGCTTCCAAATTGTTCACATTTGAAATCGGCATGCTTGAATAATTGGAAAAATAAATATAATGAAAACAATTTATACGTGACTAAATTAGACTTTTTGACAGAATCGGAGACATTTTCACGATATTCCAACGATGAAGTTGAAAATATTATAACAAAACAAGATATAGATTTAAGTTTGAAAATGGCGGCAGATGATTGGAAGTATTATATCGCATATTTTTCTAAAATATCTCTCAGTCATGGACAGTAAGCACAGTTTATTATGTGTATTAATTTCAATCTGACTATGTATTGAAAAAATCGTAATTCGTGAATTTTTATATATAATATTCATTGAGCAAATGTATTTTTAGATTAACAAAAATTCAATTTTTGTTAAAATGTTTGTAAAAATTATTTACTTAATTCTAATATCACTTAATTTGTAAACTAATATCAATTTATACAATTGTAAGTATTTTAAATAATCCTAAATAGTTTACATTGTAAAATTAATAGGAAGATGTTAAGAAAGACTTATTAACAAATGAATTATTAAAGACATAAAATGTACAACATAGTATACTAAGTCCTATTTGAAAATAAATTATATTTTTTGTACTAGCAGCTTCTATTCTGTATTTTTACTTCAGAAAACACAAAAATCAGTACACATGATAATTATTTGATATTCATAGAAATATGAAATAAATATAATGTTAATTAATACCTATTTATTATAAATTAATTATAAGTATTCTAAATGCAACATTTAAATTTTTCTATATACATATTTTAAAATCAAGAAGTTCACAGTCAAAATGGCAAAGCATCAGCTAATTCGAGACCAACAATGGCTAATGCATATCTAAATTGTTTAAAACTTTATAATATTTCTGTACAACAAAATGTTTGATATTTACATTCTAACTGGACCTCATTTTTTATTATTTTCTGTTTCTTTTTCATCTGTTTTAGTTTTTTTTTCATCTTTTCCATCCTTATGCAATACGAGTAATGGTAGCATTCCCAATAAACAACCTAATGTTACTCCAAATACTCGACCCTGGATCAAGTAAAATTTTTAAACAAATTCGTTAAATATTAATATTTATATATGAATATTATTATTGTTATTTTCAGCAGTAGCTTACTATATTAGCAGCTCGTCTACTTTTTGGTAAATCTAATTGGATTGGTGTTAATTTGGGTGCCTCGAATCCTACTTTTTGTGCAAAAAGTTCAACATAAAATGCTGAACCGATTCCCAAAATATCCGAAATTGTATTTCCAAAAGCAGCAGCTGCCATCGTTGAGAGAGATATAAAAACCCCTAATGTTGCTTCAATTGAATCACCCTGAAAGTTTATTAAACATAAAATGCTGAAGAATTCCATAAGTAGCATACTAATTAATTAATATTTATAATATTTACAGCAATGATCATAATAGAATTGTCAAGGAATCCAAATCCAATGAATGGAATAGCATTCGCGATTGCAACTTGAAAAATATTAAGTACGATTATACATTGTTATATATATGTAACTTTATTCTCATTTTCAAATACATTATTTATGTTTGAACGTTTTGGTATTATAAAGCAATAATAATGATTAAGAAATCAATGCTTTACATACATGTCAAAAATATTTTCAAAAAATCAGTACATTTAATGATTACGATTTTTATTAGAATTATAATTTATTATTAAAACAAATTAAAATATATAATTATACGAAACGTTTTATAAAATTTGTTTACATTTTAAGAATTAAAACGTCTAATATTATTTATTATAAATGAAGCATAACCTGATATAAGATTTCAAGCTAATTTTTAGCCTAAAATAATTTACATAATATGACAATATCAACATATATTGTTTGACGTAAGAAATTGAAAAAATTTATAATAATAATGTCTATTAGCAATTACTAAATATCTTATTCAATATATTAAGAAGACTGTAGTATTAATTTAGATGCAAAAGTCTTATACAACCAGTATAATCCAGTTTTATCCAACTTACTTTTTAGGAAAAAAAATATAAAAAATATTTATAATTTACTTTCTACGAATTTGAGTTCAGAATTAATTTATTATCTTATAATAAATATTATATTATAAAAAAAAGTAAGATAGTAAAATAATTATTTTAAAAATATTTCTTATAATTTTTATAAACTTTTTGATATAAATGTATTTGTCTTACCTTGCATCAAATCTTTTCTAGATGGGTGTGGTACTGTTTCCACTAAAAGGATAAAAAAACTTATTAGTTAACATTAAAATGATAATTAATAAAATTACGAATAATAAGTAAAAGTGGAAAAAGTCATAAAAGCGTTGATTATTAGTCATATAGAAAGAAAAATTGCATGCAATAATAAGTTTATTTATTGAATCATTAACTGTTTTATAAAACTGTTTTTATAATATTTATCAAGTTTGATAGACTTACAGAATAGATTTTCCGTACAACGAAAAGAGCAGAAGAAAGAAGAAACTAGCGTTAGTGTACACTGACAAAGTTTTTATAGAAATTTGAATATAAGATTTCCATAGGACCAGCGCAGAAGACGGTATAAAAATAAATACAGAATAATGAAAATATAGTATTGTGTTTCATGTAATATTGAATGTACATCAGTTATGTCATAATATGTTTAAATATGTATATTTTAATGACAGTAATAAGAAATTCCAAACATTCAGTCTAATAAATTTATCAAAATTTAAATTTCATATAAATATGCGTTACTAAATAGTTGAAGTACGTCTTTCATGCAGGCTTACGTGTCTTTATTTTTGAAGGATCCGCTTGAAGCATAAAATTACCAAATTTATTAGTATAATTCAAAACTTTATAATATGCTTACATGAAACTTGACTTATATTACTTTAAATTAACAGTAATTTTATTAAGTTAAATATCTATAATATATATTTTTAATTTGTACGAAGGGCGTAAAATCACAAATATTGCTATTTAAAATATTTAATTATTCTATAAAAATTACGATTAACGTTTTTCAACTCCTTCTGCTGGTCCTGGAAACATATATTATTGATTTTCATACCATATTTGCGTAATAACCAATCATCAGGAACAGCGCAATAGCTGCCTGTAGGATCTACATCTCCTAATGTTGTTACTTTAGTCGGACGTCCAAATTTACTCCTCCATCGAAAAGGTGCAAGTTGACCTAATAAATAAAAATAAACGGGGACAACTGAATAAAATGTAAATTAAAATTAATTAAAAAGCTGATAGGAGGGCTACAGGAGTGCTACCGAATTGGGATGAATATGGGTTAAAGAATAAAATGAATCTTTGAAAAATCTTTATAGGCTACCTCTTTCATAGATAGTAGAAAAATCCGCACTCCTGCTTACGGCATTAATACGAGGGTTGACAAGACGACGTGCTGGTCTCTCATATCGTTAGTAGAGACTCTTCGGTAAGAATTTCTGTGTATATAGTGCTCGTACACAGAGTCTTTATACTCTATATGAAAAATCATACGTGAAATCTATGTATGATAATATTTTAAATTACTATTAGCATTTTATATTTGAACAATTAGAATGCTATTAGCTTTTGTATAAACACAGAATAACATTTGATATATAGAAATACAAACGTAGGCACTTTAGACAGATCGCTTACAATCTAAGAAGGAGAATGTAAGAAACGAATCATCGTAAACATCGATGTACAAACCAAGACACAGTTTACTATATACTATATAACAAAATATTGTGATTAAACATTTGTTACGTGGACTTCTTATTCTTTGGATTCTGGAATGCATTGGTTCTAATTATACATTGATTAACTCTTCTTACCTTCATATTCGGCCTTGAGCTTTAGAGACTGACATTCTTGTAAAGCCGTGATGAGCACTTGTCGTTCATCCGATGTCAAACGAACCGCGAGCTGCCGTGCTTGGTCCTTCGACAAAACACCAGGTACATCGGGGGTTGTGGCTTTCGAGGCGCTGCCAAATCTCTCTTGATTAAAGAAACCCAGCGAGCTACTTCGTTCCATACGATTTTCAACGGAATTCCAGATACATCTGTTGTGACCAAATCGCAAAATGAATTTCTTTGCAAATAGCGGTAATGGACTGGAGCAAGGATTTCCGACGCTTCCTCGGCATAGCTTATACATTGACGAGCACATTACGCTGATATTTAATTCAACAATTGTCGGAGTCACGCTATTTCAAAATTATTCCCTCCCTCTTACAATAAAATCTCGAAAAGTTAGAACTGGATGTTGCCGGCTCGCAACTGTCGTCTCACCAAGGATATCAATATAACATAAACACTGCCGATCCATCCATAATATTTGTTTACGTCCCGCGAGCCGATTTCGACAATTAAATCTCACAATTGCTTTAATGCCACGGCAATTACATTAATTACTGGAAGATGATATCGCTGTGCTGGGCCGAGCCGAGCCGAGCCGAGGCGATCGGATTCGAATACGACGTTCTCGACTTCGAAGTGAACTTTCCCGCAATGGAATGCGTCATTCGAAACGCGACCCGCCACCGTCCGCTGCCGAAATTGAAATGGAACATCGTACAATCTCTCCCATCGCATTTCCCTTCCAACAACAACTTCACGTAAATGGCGCCTCTGACGTCACACTACAGAGCGGTAATAAACACCAATTTTTTATCGACATTTTAATGAGATTCCCCAGCCATTTCAGCATACACTAAGCGAGGCAGGAAACGGATGTTCGGATTAGCTTTTCCCAATTTATCTTGATTGACCTACAGATTTATTTATAACGCACACTATGCACGTAAATTTTGAGCTATTTTTTAAATTGAATTATTGACATTTGCCAACAAATCATGGGATTGGTTGGCTCTTTAATACTCACCTCGTTTTTGCATTCGATTTACAGGGAAGCGCGGGTATTACAGGCGCTCGTGTGTTGTTTACGTCACAAATACATCGCCGCTTAATCGAAAGTTCAAACAAGTTAACGGCCTACATTAATTAATTGCAATGATAAAGTCCCGTAAGGCTTTGATTTGCTTCGTTAGATTATCAAATCCATTTATTGTTAGATTTATTGTATTATTAATGTTTGCGGCGTTTCGCGAGCCTGAGTAATAGTCCACGACGAATCAGAATTTTTTCAAAACCTAAACTGCATTGGCTTGCGTAAGAGCGTAACCGTATGTATATTATGCCCTATAGCAGGAATTGTCAAACTGAAAAATATTTAGGGCCGGTAAAATTGCATTTTAAAGGAAAGCTCGAGGTCAAGCACCAGTGTAATTCTGTAAAATATGACGAGTAAGTAATAATAGATTCCAGCCAGTCAATCTTATTCACATATATAATCGATTAATTTCAAAACTTTATAGAATATAGGCCATTAGCCATAACTTTATAGAATATAGAGCCACTTGTCTAAGTTGACTAAATGATAGTTTTACGAATTGTATTAATTAAGCTATAATAATTTGTGGATAAATCGAAAATAAAAAATAAAACAAAAACAAAAAGAAAAAATCATATGTAAATCTCCTGATATCAAATTCAAAGTAATTACGTTATGTTGCTTTTTTCGATATATGTACAGGTAAAAAGAATAGAAATTTTCTTTACTATTAAAAAATATGTATATATATATCATATGAAATCTTAAGAAATATCATGTTTGTATAATAAATTTGAATTTTTGAATAGATTGAAGAAAGAAACGATAATTATAAAAAATGATTATAATTTTATTGAAGAAAATTTTATAAATAAATAATTTTGTATTAATAATTCAGTCACGAGTGTAAGAAAAAAGAGCATTCGAGAGCCTAGAATGGAAAAAAAATTTTCACAAAGAAATTTGTTGAAAAACTTATGTAAAATTTATAAAAAAAAATTATTGAAAAATTTAATGACAAATCGAGTCAATGAAAGATAAAAAGGAAAAAAAATGATGAATGTAGAAATAATTCGAAAGACGTTTTATAATATACATTTTTTTTTTTACTTGTTTTTTAGTTTATTTTTTAACATTTTAGTAGTAAAATATTGTAATTTTTTTTCTTTAATAATATACCAATTCGATTTCCACAGTTATTAATCTCCTATTACTATCGGAATTTTATCTATGTTCGTGGACTGTAATTACCATGACATTTTTATTTAAAGTGCTGTATTGTGCTTGGATAGAAATGAAAATTGAAAAGATAAACTGAACAACTTAGTGAGATCAAATTAATTAAAAACTAATACATTACATGTAAATCGATGTATAAATTCAAATATTATCATTATTTTTTATAAATTTATTTATATAGATTTTTTTTTTTTTTTTTTTTTTTTTTTTTTTTTTTTTTTTTTAATAATCATATGGTAATGTGAAAAGCTTCTAATTTATAAACATTAATCGTTAATTACTCCGTTCACTTATGTACCTTTGGAGATAAATTTTACCGATTATATATAGCAATGTCAGCGACTAGGTAGTGGCAATTTATCGAGTTTACGGTGAATAATGCATAATATATTTTTAAGTAAATCTACCTATATGTAGATAATGACGCTATACAGTACTTATCTCAATTATGGAATTAATAATTGAATAAGAAAGTAGTATTTCATACAAAAATAAAGCTTAATTAGTAATGAAAGTCAACTAACTGCAAGGTCATTGCAACTATTTGACTAATCAAGGCAACATAATTCGCTTTATTGAGCGGAAGCAGATGAACGAGAGAAACAAGCACAATACTTTATATCCTTCGCAAGAGAAAGTTGAGAGTGCATTTAATCACTTTAAAAAATTCATCCATGATTTTGAAAAAAAAAATCCCTTTATTTTTTATCGTTTGAGTTTTGATATGATAATTCTATTACCCAAATTAAAAAATAATAAAAAGTTGCAACTAAAAATCAAAAGAATATACAAAGCATTTTAAAAGCAATTATTTTTAATGAATTAATGAAATTTAATGAAAATTATATATTATATATGGAAGATCGATAAATTTATATGCATTGTGTAAGCGTGAATTGTTAATCGACAGAGTGATTTATGTATTTCAGATATAATTAGCAGCTTCATGCAATCCAAATAATCCTATAAAGTTATTACTTTGAGCAAACTTACCGAAATTAGGATTATTAAAATTTAGTTTAGCAGTATAAAATTTGTTGAAAATTCTTGGACGCTTTTCAAATTTCTATTCACAGAGATGGATAAATTAAAAGTATTTAAAAATTAATTTTTCTATAATTATATTTCATAACGAATACAGTTTAATTATTTTAATTATCAGGTCTTAATGATGTAGTAGTGACAAAGAATATAATGACTTGATAGTATTTAGTGATTAATGTAAGCGTTTTTTCAACTTGCATATTTCTGCAAAGGAAAAACTTAATAAATTGAATTAAATAGTATGGTAATCATATTTATAAAACATTTTTATAAATAAATATGCGATTATATGTGTGCGAGTGACGTTATAAAAAATCTTATAAGATTTTCTTTTATCCGCGAAAAAACCAACTCATGGGCTAACTATTGATGTAACATTTTAATCAAATTACTGTTTCATTTACCTCTATACTTATAGAATGTATTCCAAGGATTAATTCAATAGTCTTCTAGTGATTAAAATTACCAAGTTTATTTTAATATTAGAGGACTTTTATTTGTTACTGTTTAGATACATATTAAATTGATACAATGTCATTTAAATTTTATACAACTAAAATTATACAATAAAATTTTATATTGATAAAATCTATTATAGATAAAAGAATAAAGAGAGAATTTATTTGAAACATTTATAATTTCAACTACTAACAAGCGAATAATTATATGTACAATTAAATTTATTTATTTTTTAAATTATATTTAATTGCAATCAAACGGTTATATTATTCATACGTTTAAAAATAGCAAACAATATGAGTGCTGATAGAAGATTAAAACTACAAAAACAAATTGGAGGGCAAATTAATTTAATTTTTTATCCTTTTATCAACAATTTTATTAAATTACGTGTTAATTATATATGATTGATGTATAAAAATTTTTAAAGTAGAATTTTTGACAGGAGGCTATATTTTTAAATTATGATCTTATTACTTTTTGTTTTTAATATTTATTTCATGCATTTTGAAATAATATATAAAATAGTACGTAATTTAATGTTACCTATATTTAGAATATATAAATACAACATAATTTGGTAACACGTCAGACTAGAATTAATAAATCAATTATACACAATTTTCGATATTCCAAAATAGAATTTTTGTTTTTCATCCTAAATTTATATGGAAAATTATGTTTAATATTTATGTAATTAGTTAATTTTCGTTTAAGTTTTATCTAAATAATTCATTTTTAATGCAAATATGTTTAAACTTATGGTGGATAGTTATATTAATACTTATTAAATACATACAATATAAATATAAAATGGAACATTATTCAAAATTTTTTATCTATTACAAATAAAATTAAGTAGTATATTTTTATCATACAAAAGCTAAACCTTTTATTATATCATTTGTATAAAAATAATATTTATATATTTACAGGATATCATAAAAGTTCACTGAATATATTTCGGCCATTAATTTACTAATATTAAATATTAAAAATTATATGAAGATTCATCACATATTACAAAATTATATTAAAATAAACTATTATGTAATATAATATAATTTTCATAATAATTATAACATAATATTTTAATACTTATTTCTATATAATTTTACAAAATTTGTCTATAAAATATAAAAACTTTTAAAGTAATTAAAAAATTTTTATATGAATAGTAGTTCTTAAGGCTAAAAAGATTTTTCATAATCTGTAACTATTTTTAAATCAATTAGTTCGGATTTATTAAAGGTAACGATATCAGTATCTTCAGCATTGGTACATTCTTCATCTTTTGGTAATGAAAATTTTCCTTCGGGTTCTTGTAACTGATCCTTACCACCTGCAATTTATATTTATTATATAAATTATTAGGACATTCAAAATAAATATCATTTATTAATAAATTTTTTTTTAATTCAGTATTTCATTATTTTATAAAATAAATTTACTCACGCAATATTTTCAAAGTATATTGTAATTTTGTTGCATCATAAGATAGAATTTTCGCTATTATTACATCTGACAATTGGGGTGTATAGTCATTTTCCATTCTATATACCTTTAAATAATCACATAATGTTCGCTTAGATAAGTCGTATTGGAAGCAATCAAACTTACAAGATTCATAATCATAAAATTTAGTAAATCTATAATGTATACGTACCATAAAAGAAATAATGTTGTTACATGTAATATTTTCATTTGAATTTTCATTATCGTTAGTTTTTTCTGGTTTACTTAAATGTAGAGAATGTTCCTTTATTACTTCTGGTTTTACTTTGTTTTTTATCTTTGTGTATCCAAAAGTTATTGGCGTTGAACTTTGTCTCAAATTGAGAAGAGCATTAAGATGGCCATTGACAATTTGCTTATTTGTACCTTCATAATTTACTTGATTTTCTTGAATTGAATGTTTGGTCTCAGATGCCGTATCTTCATCATCAAGATTTTTAAATCTAATGTGCTTTCCTGATGAAATCAATACAGAATCAATAATTTTTGGTTTTTTACCAGAATATTCTGTATAAGACACCTCATTTTCTGGACTTAATGTTACAAATTTTTTTTGTCTTTTTTTACGGATACGTTTCTTTTTACTTAATATACTTGCTGTGCTTATATTATCATCTGTAAAATTATTATTATCTATTTTATTATCTCTAGTATAATCACTGTCTTCTTTATGTATACTTACCCTTTAAACTTTCATCGGTATTATTTATAGAAGATGTTAAAGTATAAAATTTGTCGGATGTTGTAATAGTTTCATTTTCTTCCAAAATTACAGGTGTGGCAAAACCATTTTGCTTTCTTTGCAACGATTCTTCCTCATCGTTTGTTTCACAGCTATCTACAATACCAGTACCAGGAACTATACTGAAAAAAAATGTTAGGTGTTGAATAACAATCTTAAGAGCAAAATTCAATTAAAAAACTCATTTCATTTATCTGTATTTTACAAAAATCCCTATTAATTCGTAATTTATAAAATATCAGCTCTATAATGTCAAATATAAATATACAAGAATTTGCTAATAAATTTTGATTTACCAACACTTGTATTTTTCTGTTACAGCGATACAATACTATTGTAATATTTTTTAAAAATGTACTCACATAACTGTGTCATTATTTTCTAAAATACGAATGTCTTCTTGAAGTGGAAGAAAAAGATACATTTCTTCGTGTTTAGATACAAAGTGAAATGGCTTCTTGATTTCAAAAATTCTCCTAACATGTTCAGCAAATTGATACACATAAAATATCTTCGTACTATCTATATAAACCCAACTAAGCTGTCGAGCATCTTGAAAAATTTGTGAAAAATCCATTTTCACCCGTAAGTTCTTTCTCATCCTGACCGATATTTTCCCTTGACTACCGGTATGCAGTTTGAATTATTTTTGTTTAAATGTCCTGTAAGAATGAAATACTTTAGAACGTCAGACACGTGTTAATATTTTACATATCGTTTCGATTATACTAGGCGTGTCTAGTTATTTTAGCGTATAATCTACTATTACTCATATAGTTACTTTTGTCGATTATCCAACTTTCAAAATATATTTGAATTTAATTTTTGGCGCGTTTTCTGAATTTCATAAACCTACGAATTATGATTGCTTGTACAGATTATGATGGAAGGGCTTCTGGTAATTTTGATTTACTCATTGCATATTAAATTTTAATAAAAAATGAAATCCTTATTTATATTCATCTTCCTAATTGGATATTTATCAAATGTTATTTCACATATTATATTACTTTCTCCAATAGCAAAAGATTGAAGTATAAATTTTTTCGTTTCATAAATCCGAAAATATTTGCAATAATTTTCATGTCATTACCTCTTACGTGGTACACATTTTTAATAGCCAGTGATTCCAATATTTTGAATATTATTTCAATATTGAATATTATGTTTGGAATATTATGTTTTTATACCTTTTTTCCCCTTCAATACTATAAGTTATTACTTAATAAATTCGTTCCATGTAATATAAATGTGATTTTCATGAATTATTTATTATCGATATTACCCTTCAACATTATATGATTTATGATATTTTTATGAAGTAAACACAAAATAAAATTAATTTTATAAGAATTTAATTAAGCGATTAAATGCGAATATCACTGCAATATACAATGTATATCTTTTTACTGCACGTCGAAAAGAGATAGAGTTTATTTATATTATGAGATAGAAAAGAGTTAGAGTTAGAGGACATCAGTTCAGCTCCTACTGTATTTTTTTAAATAAATTTTTGGCGCATCTGTCTATTATAGAAAGGTAATTGTAAGGTACAAAGAATAAATAGAATAAATATTTCGATACACATAAGGTGTAGAAATTACATTCGGCTACAGCGTGACACATCAATTTGTTGAGGCGGGGAAACGAATGTGCAGGGCGAGGAACTGTCTGCTTGGCTATGTGCCATTATGGCAAATACTGTGCGATGTTTTCGCGAGGACAGAGATTTATGTATAGCTAGTTACACATAAATGGAGACGAAACTGACATCGCGCCGGTACTCGGCGGTTGCTAACCTCAGGTATCATTTTGACCAAATTTTGACCAAATTTTGACAAAAAGATACAAAGGATAAAAACAAATACATAATTTATTTCTTTATTCGTTCGATCATTTATTTATAGAGAGAAGAAGAATTGATATGTGGATCTACAGAGAGGGAGAGAGAGAGAGAGAGAGAGAGAGAGAGAGAGAAGTAATACTTAATTACATAAGCTAAAGCTATTGAAATGGTTTTAGAAAAAAAAATGTTAGTAATTCAATATTGACATTTTTCTTCGTACTCACAATACACACTAGATTAATTCGAATAATAAGATTTTTTACAGTTTTTTTAGGCTTATTCTAAAAATATTATTTTTTAATGATATTACCTCAACACATGTTAAACAATTATTTAAAATTATTTCATTTCTGAAAAGATATTCATAATATTTTTTATCTATACTTTTTAACAACAACAATAAAAATAATAATATTAATTAAAAATAATAAGAAAAACAATAATAATGCGAACAAAGAAAGCAACAACAATAATAACTAATAGTGATATGAATTTCTAAAATAGTAGAATCGCAATGCTGATATAACTTGTAATATGGATTTATATTTCTATTTGAAGCGATGCTATCTTATTTATAATCACCAGCAAATATTATGTATTAATCTATTTTCAGATTATTGAAAAATTATTGTACGCCTATAAGTAATTATAATTTAATTAAATCATTCAAATTTTTTATTAAAAATTTTAATGAATTTTTGATATTAAGCATATAATTCATTAAAGTCGACATATTGTTAAATATAGTGTTTACAAAATTGAAACAAGAATATAGAAATATTAATTTTCAAGTTAAATCCGTAAATACCGAAAATATCACGATAATTATAAAATAAAAACTATAATATTAAGATATTTTTAAAAAAGTATTTAATAAAGTTCAAAATTGAAATATAATAATATTACAAAAAATATTCTTCATATTTTTCATGTTTCATTATGTTTAAATTATATGTTAAGGTAATATTTCAAATAAATAATAATAAGATTTACTTGTCATGTATTTTTTATAATGTATTAAAAGATATCTTACTAGATAAGAATATGGTAATTTCAAAATTATCACTTTATTATAGTAATTATTATATTTAAATTTTTTAATTTTATCTTCAACCATTTTTATCGAATCCATTATTATTTCTAAGAATGAAGATTTATTAAGTTAATAATTCGTATGAAGTATATTCATATATACATTCCAATTAAAAGTTGATCTAAGAACTTTAATCAAAACTGGTTTTGATATATATATATATATATATATATATATATATATATATATATGTGTAATATTTGTAGATAAATAATGATCAAATAATACAAATCTAATATTGTGGTTGATGTTTAAGCCGATTAATTCATCGCAATTATTCCTACGATTATCTACCTCTAATTATATAGAAAAATTCTAAGTACATTATCTTTATATTTGTACAAAAATATATAAATAAAACTATTAAAAATGATATAATATTAATATTAGTATTAAATTAAAAAAAAAAAGAAAAGTAAAGTATTCATTTTCACATTTATTTTAAATTCAGATTGCTAAATATTTAATTTATTGTGAAAATATCAGGTTGAATTAATGATAATTTAATCGAATAAATTCATAATCGTTTAAAAATTTAGTCTTAATCTTCGTGTCTCCTTGACTATGACAAACGTATGTTAAACATAAAGAAAAGTAAAACTGTTTGACCATAAAAAATGATAATTGGTATTGTTTCGTAAACATATAGAAAAGAAAATAATAAGATTCGAACAAGAGACTTTAAATATCGTAACATTTTCAAGTTTATAATAATCCAATTATTTTTTATTTAGGTTACTTTATTTTTTTTTCCATCTATAAATCATTTTTTAGTTATCTAATTTAAAGAATTCATGGATAATGAACAACATTTTTAGAACAGCTAAGGAACTTAATAATTTATAGGAACTTATTAATAATTTCAAAGCTTAACAGTTCTAAGTCTGAATTATAATATTGTTTATTATGTAAACTAACAATTATCTTTAGGAATGCTTTCATTTCTATTCATTGCGATTATTTATGCAAATTTATATATTACAAAATTTGGAATAATAAATAAAAACAATAATGCGTAATTAAAGGTCTAATATTTTATATATAAAATATAATATATTGTAGCTCTATTAATTTTATTAATATTAGTGTAATTCATCAATAATGTATATATTACTTAATATTCTATATAATATTTTATTAAAGATGAAGACTTACTTTAATTTCATAATAATTTAATCAATAATTGAATAAAAGTTTTTTGATTTTTTAAATGGGTAAAAAGTAACTTTATGTTACTTTAAATATTCCTTAATTGATTATTAGTTCTCTTAAAAATACAAAAATTGTCATTAAATTATTATTAATATTAGATTACAATTAATTTTTAAAGCTTTATACGTTGTAGTTTATCATTAAAAACACTTGATATAATTATACATAAATATTTAATATCGATAAGCAAGAAAGAAAAATAGTATGTATAAATTTTATTAAATGAGTTAAAAATTTCATTTCACAAAACTTAGTTCACTAATTCAGTATTTTTAAGGGCAATTTATGAAATTTTTTTACAAATCATTAATCAATATTGTATGATGTAGTATTGACAAATATTTTATTTAATTTGATTAAATATTTTATTATATTGATGTATACAAATATGTGCAGTTATGAATTGATGAAAATTACAAATTTGTTTAAATATTATTTTCTCTTGTAGATATTTTGACATTCATGATGGAAATCATATTGGAATTTCTTTTATGATTCAAGACATGTGACTCAAATGTACTATTCCTTCTATATTTATTTTCTCTTCTTTCGCTTTATGCATATCGACTATTTATTAATAAAACATATATTTTCTAAAGTAATTTTTATTGTGTCGAATGTTGAACAAACTTGAATGTTATTAGTTTATTAATTCTATTTTGAGTGTGTTTCATAAAACGAATACACATCGGCAACTTCATATTCTCCAAACTTTCGTTGTCCAAGTTGTATATTTAAATGAGACATGCTCAAAGTGAAATCATTTCGAATGTGTGTAAGTTTGTAACTGAAACTCAATAAATTTTATTACTTATCGTGCACGTTAAGCTTTTATTCAAACTAATGTTGTATATCCCTTCTTTTTACTTTAATTATTAAAAATTACATTTGTATATTTTACAATATTTTTATAGAATATTTTTAATGTATATACGAATAGATGATAAAATTTTTATATTTTCAATTTTAATAAATAATATAATTTCATAATAAATATGTTTTAACAGATTAATAATGAAATTAATAAGAGATTCTATGAAATAAAAATTTCTTAGTAAAGAAGATCATAGGATAAAGCAATTGAAATTTAATTAATGAATGTATTTAATATTTTACAATAAAAAAGTTTTCATCGCTGTAGCAATTGTTATTATAATGATGTAAGTATATAAGTATTGAGAGATGAAAGATGAAAAAGATGGTAAAGTTAATCTGAGAGGTGGGAGATAGCGTAGAAAGTTAAAGAATAAGAATGAGAAGAGAGGAGGCATAAAGAGACTACGAGAGAGAGAGAGAGAGAGAGAGAGAGAGAGAGAGAGAGAGAGAGTAAAACAGAAGAGAGTCAAAAAAGAAAATTATAAAAAAAGTACGAGAAAATAATACAATTGAATATATTAACATTATAATATTGATTTACTAATCATATCAAAAGGTCATGTATTCTATATTTAAATTAATATAAATATGAATTGTTGCAATGATTTTTGAAAATCATTTCACTATAAATATGGAAATATTACTATTAAATATAATTTATTATTGATTTTTTTACGGAATTCAAAT